GACAAATAATGGTAAGATGTAGGTCTTCATTATTTGTTCATATATATAACTGAAGCTTTATTTGGTTACAGAGAATATTACTTTTTTTTCAGGTAATTTCATCGAGAGTTTTTACTATTGTTTGTCAATATTTTTAAGAGTAGAACTGTGTCATAAAACTAAGTATATCGAAAGTTCATTCTTGAATTTATAATAACCAATAAAATTTCTTATCGTATTACAGTGGCAGTAAGAAGCAAAAATCTTCATAAGTGTAATAGAGTCTATATATATATATATGAAATTCAATAGTTTCATTAAATGGTATATATTTTACTTTTGCTTGTTGCCATTGTTTACTTACTCGCTTGCTATGAAAACAAAGCCGAAGACGACTACCTCATCGTCTCACCAAGAAATAAAGAGTCAATTTACAAAAAAGAAAATCGGCTCTTGTGCAAAGCGTTCTTTGGTTGTCTCTCAAATGTTGATAGTAATGCTTCGGCTGTTACTTCTACAGTTGTTGTTATTGTAATACTCTTTCAATTAACAGAAACGAAAGAGTAACGAACGAAGTAGAAACGTTTGAGGGTGTTGAAAAGTAACTTTGTCATCAAACCAATCCATAACGACCAGCATCATTGGTAACCAACTTGTAGTTCACATACATGTGTACATGGATGAAAATGCCTTTGTTTCTCATTTTTTCAGTTTTTTTTTCTCGTTTGCATATTTTGTTCGAACTTTTTCTTTTCATTCTTTATAATAGAATTTCAATTTTTTCTTCACTTTGTCATTTTTTCAATAGACGTACAAATATGTCGTCTGTAATCTTTCAACCATTATTACATGATCCACTTGGATGGAAATCATCAACTACAACATATGCTGATACCTTTAAATGGCGAAAATATCGATCAACTAGTAAAGATAAAAAGATTTCAGCATATGGTCAACAGTACCAAAGACAACTGCGAAAACAACAAGAACAACAAAAGTTACAACAAACAAATTCATGTTTGTCATCAACAACAAATGAAGAACAAATAATTCAACGGGTTATTCCAACGAAAAAAAATGAAGAAAATCGAGAAGTAACACCTATATCTTATCGCTGTTCATCATCAAAAACAGCACCTGCTATTATTGAAGACCATTCGGTTCCTATTGTTGAAAATAAACAACGATCTGCTTCAACTAATAGGGTCAGTCGATTCATTATGTCGATAATATTTAATATAAGGGTATTATGCTTTTTCAGGAAGCCACCTATGGCTCAAGAGCCTCACAGCGTTCGCAAACAGCACTAGCTGCTGCCGAAGGTAAAGAGGGTTTTTTTAAGTGCTCAACAAAAATTCTATTACAATACATTTTAAAGTCTTGTTTTGTTCTTTTGAGATGTAATCTTAAGTTCACCTTAAAATGATTTAATTAAAAATAGAAAAATACTAATTTTTAAGCAAGAAAATTTTAATAATTCAAAAAGAAAGAGAAAAAAAAGAAGAAGAATTTCAAGTACAACCACTACTTCATTTTTATTTTCTCTCAAAATTTACTTATACTCTTATGTTTCAATCACAACGAAATATTTGTTTACTATCTTATAACTTTAACTAAACATTTAGACATGCAGATAAAATTCAAGTTTTGAAGAAAAAAATTATTAATTAAATTAGCCTATGAGAAAGACTTTTAGAATGAATCGGTAGTGTTTCTTTTTCGCTCTTTGCTTAAAAATAGTAATAATACTGCCAGAGAAACCTTAACAATACTTATGATGCTTGAAAATGATATTTATTTCAACATATGTTTTTGAAGAAATATGTCGTCCAGCAACATCATTGGAAGCTCGACGATCTCCTAAAGAAGAAAAAGAAAAGGTTATTACTGATCCAAATAATGACAATAGTCGACATTGGCTTACTTATCCAAATCCGAAAACACCTCAATATTTAATTGATATCAAACAACGTTTGGGACAATTAAAAATTCCTTCAAAACTTGCTCGACCAACATCAGCAACAAATTTATCTGGTGACCGACAACAAAAAACATGTTTACCAATTCAACGATCAGAAACTTCGATCTCACAACGTCAACAACAAAAATCTGCTGATCAACAACATTTTCTTGATTTTAATCTTCCAGAAACACCAAATGAATTACGTGCTGCACGTCATCGTCTTGAAAAACATCGATACAATCCTTCGATTGATAATTATCCACCACGTCCACAAACATGTCCAGCGCAGACAAGTGATATTTCAAAACCATTAACATCATCTATTATTGTGGAATCGAAAGATGAACAATTACCACCTATTCAAACAACACAAATAACAGATAATGCATGGACTAATGATGAAGAAAATAAAACAGAAGAAAATGAAGCATCATCAATTATGATACAACCAGTTGATGTAGATGATTTACCAAATGAATATGTTGAAGCACTTGAAACTGCTAATATAGCACAAGAAGAATATTTAAAAAATTTAAAGGCTAATGGTGAAAAAAAACCTGATAGCTTTGTTTATCGTCTTCCATCAGTGTCATCTGAGAATAAAAATGATTCATTTGTAAGTGAAATCACTTTAACATAATTCATATATTTCATCTAAAATAGTTTGCCTATCGTTCTCAACAACAATCAACAACACCAACCAATAATAATTTAATACGAGGCAATGATTTTGGTACTTGGGTTCGAAATGCTACGGATAAAGGTAATTAAGATACATTTCGAAAAATAAAATTTCAACAATAAATTATTTCATAGAACGTGAATCCGCAATGAAAATTTTACATGAAGTTTTAAATCAACCAGTTATGGGTTATGATATTCCAACAAAACAACAAACTCTATTTAAACAAGCACCAACACCTACGCCTGTTCGTTCACTTTCAGCAACAAGAAAATTAGGTCGTACTCGTACACATCAACGTATTCCATGTGAAATATGTGAAAAACAACTTATTAAACGTCATTTATGGGATTTAAGTCGGTAAGAATTTCTATTTATTTAGGTTTTTTTTTTCGTATTAAAAGCCAAATTTTCTCATAGATCAGACACATTGTCTTGTCCTCATCAAACTCAGATGATAAAAGCACCAATAATTCAAGTTCGAGCATCATAACAAAAGTTTGAATCTACAGTATTTTATTAATAATAAGTCTTTTATTTAATCTAGGTATCGTTTGTCTACAATCGATATATAATTCGTGAAAAACCAAAAAAAAACAAAAACAAATATATACATTTTATACTCTTTTTTTTTTTCTTTTTTTTTCGGGGGGAATATAATATCTACGTAATTATAATTATTTTTGTAAAAAAAAGAAAGATAACATTGTTAATGACAATATAATATGATGAAATATTTGTATTGATGAAGTTGAGGAATTTCTTATGATTGGAGCATGATTTGTTGTTGCTATTGTTGTTTGAAAAATATCTCGCAATCGACGACGACCAAGAAGACGACGTCGTAATTGATTACAATTAATTAAGAAACCACGTGTATGATTTATTGAAAATCGTCGAATTTTATGTTCATCACTTGTCAAAATATATAAAGTCATATTATTACGTCGACTTTGACCACCAATACGGAATTGTGGATTGATATTTATTGTAGAATCTGGTTGAGTAATAATTGTTGTTATTAATGTTGAAGTAAATGAAGAAGTAATAGTTGTTGCTCTCGTTGTAGTTGCTGTAAAAGTTGTAGATGTAGTAGACATAGTAGTTGGCATTGTTGCTTCCGCTGTAATGAATAAAGTTGTTAATGGTAATTGTGTTGTTATATCTATTGAAGTCGATTGAGTACTATAACGAGTACGTCTTGTTCGTTGTTTTATTGTTGATGTATAAGCAATTGCTTCATTTTCTGGTTCACCTGGTTGGAATAGTTTTGCTACAGCTAATTTATTTTTATATGGACGACGTTTTGATAGAAGAACATGAATATCTTTTGAAAGCTTAAATATGGATGAAGATAAATAATTTGAGAAATCAAGAATTTTAGATATTACTAACTTGTCCAAAAGAAAAACCAGTTGTCAATTGATAGTGTGTAAATGGTAATACTTGAAGTTGTTCAGTTGTTTCGGATTCTGGCATTATCATTGTTGTTATATCATTCTCAAAAGAATCACCTAGATCAAATATACGATGTTTTCTTGTTGTCATAAAAAATGGTATTGTTGTTTTCCAATATTTTTGTGAAAATAATCTTGAATATTTCCATTTCCATGCTTTTGTAGTCGATGTTGTTCTTGGCATATGAGGTGATTTCGACGGTTTACAATCCACCTAGAAAAATTTTTTTGAAATATTTTTATTTAAAATTATATATCAATACTTACTAAACTTGATGTTTCACATTTTCTTAATGTTGCATCAAATTCAGTTCCAGCTGGACAAACACGTTTTACTGCATGCATATAAACAGTATTAACGTAAATACAATGCCAATAACGTCGACAATCATCAGCATCATATATCGGATGATATGAATCATCTTCATAACCTGTACAATCAAATGTATCTTCACCATGAATAATTAAAATAAGAACGAATAAAATTTGTAGAAAAATTACGATTGATACTGGCATTTTATGAACAGAAAAACTAAAACAAATTATATGATTAGTTGCATAAATATAATTGAAGCTACATCAATTGAACATACATACATGTATAATAAAGACAAGAAAAAGAGACATCGATCATCATCATCATCAATAAGTTGACAAACATTTTCTCTCGTTCCCTTCTGTCTGTGTGTACTTACATGCTTAAAGTAAAAAGAGGGATCAACTCAAGTATCCTAATTTTATGTAATCAATCGCGTTAAATATCTAAAGTTAATGTAAGTAAAGAATAGCTATTAAGCTTTGAAAATGACATCATTTATTTGAACATAATACTTTCTATTGTTCAAAAATATAAAATAAAACTTTTTTATTTTTTATTTTTTATAGGAAAATAAAAAAGAAAGACATCAATATGCATTGATTAAAGAATAATACGTTCAAAATTTCGATAAACTGTTGGAGATATACTGGCAGAAAATTTATCATCGAAATCACGATATAAATCCCATTTTGAAACATCCGGTGGTGTATTTGAATTAAGATGTAACATGATTGTATTAAGTACTGACTTTCGAGCATATTGATGATTGTTATAACTATCATTTTGAGATGATGATGATATTTGTGTATATGAATAAGCATTAGATTTTGATAAACGATCATCATCATCACTATCATCATCATCAGCACAATTGATTTCGATTGTTGGAAGTTTTATTAATACTTTTTTACGAAGACCTTTTTCATTATTCGTTGGAGCACTTGATACACGTTGAGATTTTGATAATCTGAATAATTAAGAATATTGAAAGGTATGTTTTTAGTGAATTCTCTGTATGACTGAAATGAACATAAATAGGAATGTTCATTTTTAGTTTTATTATTTTACCAGAAAGAATTTCTATGGACAACTATATGCGAATTTTTTCCGTTCAGATTTGACCCTTTAATGAATACGTATCTCCTTATTCTTTTATGCTGTATCTGCAACAAAAAGGTCATTTTGATCGGTTTTTCTATCTTTGAGAACCAGAAACAGTCAAAAGGAGAGTGTACTGTTAAAGTCTTCTCTACCAAATTCGATTTGGGGCATATACAATAAAAATCACATGAAACTTTCAGAATATGTTGCGGTTGGAGTCGACAGGTAATCATAAAATTTCCAGCTCTATATCACTACGTTTTCGAGAGATATTTAACCAACAAGAATCAGAAATAGCTCATTTGTCAATCCAAAGTCTTTCATGGGCCTTCATTCTATATATTTAATTCTTTTATTTGAAAGAGCAGCACATCAAGATACAGAGTCTGACAGAGACTTTTTTTTAAAACTCTCACTTTTTAAGGAAAGAACAGTTCACTGTTGTAAAAAATAGTGCTCGATTTATTAAAATTATTCTTTTATATAATATTCAACAAAACTTAATCCAAAACGCAGATTCTCTCATCCCATATTTAACAAGCAACTGATAACAGAAATTATCAAAAATTTATGCAAAAAAAAAAATAAGATGTCGAATAAGAACTTATGTCATCTATGAAAGTTCAAGCTTCAAGCTATCCAATCATGGATTCATCTTAATTTCGATAGTTTTTCACAAAAATTGACTTTTTTCTAAAAGATAATTATTGGAGTTTATGATAGAAAGTTGCTTTGTTTTTGCCCTAACAATATTAGTCATTCTTAGGATTTATTTGTTGAGAGTCTTTCTCGTATTCTCCATATTTATTTTGTTATCAGATCACTAACAAAAACATTCATTCTACTAACCTATAGTTATCTCCAAATTGATATACGAGAGAACCCATTAGAAGTTTAATCTCGGCCCGATCTCATATTTTGCTCATAGGTAGAACCTATAGTATCGATAAAAGTCCTGAAATGGTTGGTACCTGGTAAAACTGTCTTCTCCCATTATGCTCATTTTTTGTGAACTTCCAGCCTCTGTTAGTATGTCACGAGAAAAATTGCAACAAGGACTTTTGGTCTGAAAATCTCTTCGACAGTAGCTATCATGGTCTTTATGATTACTTGCAACATTCATCTAAAACGGATGATGTCTTCTTAAGATATTAGATATCTTAAAATGGGTCTATGTTTGAAGCTCTTGTGCGACATTGACATATTTTTGGTGAACATGTTATCTCAGAATGGAAACCTTCGTTTGAACTGAAACTCATTGTTGCGATCTTTCTTGTAATATTCTGTAACAGACTGAAAGCAGAGATGAGCACAGGACAGGACGAGATTTTAATTTTTGTCCTGTCCTGCCGCCCTCCAGGACCGAGATAGCTAGCACGATAGGACAGAAGGGAAAATCTTGTCCTGTGCTCATCTCTGACTGAAAGTTCGATTTGTGAACACTCAAACGAGAATGATAAGTCGAATGACTTCCTACATTAGTCACAATGGATACGAATCTATTTAATTAGTCTCAAAATATATCAAAGACAATTTTAATTAAATAAAGAATCATATTACTTTTTGTGGCTGTAAAGTCCTATTAAAAAACAATAAAATCTTTTCAATAAATTTTCAAAGTGTTTTCGTTAGGAAAAATGTTATCGTAAAATTGTTCATAACATATTATCAATAATTTCTTTTCATCATAAATCCAAACGATTTTTGTTTTTGTATTTTTTATTTTTTTGTATAAAAATTACTTACGATGATGGTTGTTTAGTTTTTAAAATAGATTTTGGTGCGAATTCTGTTGATATGATTGTATTTGTTGTTGAAATACTCGTTGATGTAATAGTAACCGAAACAGTAGCATGATTACGCCGATTAGCAATTGATAAAACACTAGTCGGTTTTTTTCCATAGTTATCATTTTGTAATCGCATTTTCATAGTTTGTCCTATATGATTCATATATTCTTTATGTAATAGTTTATGATTGAATTGAGTTTTTACTCGATTTTTTTTGGAATATTTAATATAATGTTCTTGACGATATCGATTTTCTGTCAATAATTGTCGTAATTTATGTTGATAGAATTTAAAATAAGATTTTTTGTATGTTGATTGTGTTTCTTCCAATGGGAATGAACATCTGTGATTATTACTACGTTCAATAATTAATGTTGTTGTCATGCTTCCTCTTTTTCTTCTTCTTCTTCTAGTTTTTTGATAGTAAAAGTAAATGCCGAATAGAATCGATTATATTACTTTATTTTTCGATTATGTTATAGTGTGACAGGTCACTATGATGATATTTTTTTTTATTGATGAGAAATTGTAGTTGAATTATTTTTTTACCAAAAATCTTATAACTCTATTGCTTTTAATGGTGACTGACAAGTGTCGGAGAACAGTGGTGTAGCATAAGAAAAAAAAGAAAACTGTTGATTATGAAGCCATTCGACTGTTAACGGATTTAACTAAAGATTGACAATTAATTGAAGAAAAAAAAAATAAGAATAAAAATCAAAAAAATTCGACATCAATAACAATGATATTTTCTTTTATAGCTGTCAGGAAAAGAAATACTTGAAGGTTATTGAAAGTGGTAGTTGAATTGAATGAATTATTTTTGAGAATTTCTATCAAAAATTATTCTATTTTGAGTATCAGAAATTATTCTATTTTGAGTATCAAAATAAGAAAGGAACAAGAAAAATAAAGTTGATTTCAATCTTTGGGTTAAATATTTGAAAATAATAGACTGAAATTTACAGTTTCACTGTAAAACAATACACAATACTGAATATTCATCGGATCAAACAGACACATTTTACGATGTATATATAAAAAAAAAAACTCTTATCTCGATTATTTTATGGGTCATTATAGTGATAAGAAAACGTTCTATAATTTTTTTAAAATATATATGAACAAAACATAAAGCACGTATCTCATTAACTGACATGTCCTTATTTTTCTCTTATGATTTGAAATCATCTATTGAACATACGTTTCTTTTCTCAACTCAATAAAGTTTTCTCATTGATGATTATCTTTTCTCTAAAATCAAAATCCATGTAAATAATTATTTTTGTTTTAAGATAATAAAGAGATTAATTTTTTGTTCTTAGGAATTCTTAATTGACATGTATTGTCGTGTTTTCATTCAAAGTTACATGGAAAATCCAAAACAAGACAGTGTCATCTATTGAAACTTTATAAGATGATTCTCACCAATAAAATATCTTGATTTATTTTTTTATTTATTCGTTCGAACACTCAATTTGATTCTCAATAACCTACATAGAAATACAAACATTATGAATAAAGACAACGATCAACAAACAGAATTTTGTCAAAAATTTGCTTGTGATTTACAGACATGTCTTAATAGTAAGAAAACTATAATACTAAAGATTTAACTCATTGAAAAAAAACAAACAAACAAAACTTTCTAGAACATACATACAATCCAGAGAAATGTGACAAAATCTTGAACCAACTAAAACAATGTTGTTTAGAACATGGTACACAAAGTCCTGTTGTTTGTTCTGGTTTTCCTATTTCCAAATCTTCATCATCAAAATAAAATTCAACTGTTTTATTGCATAAATTGATATTTAACTGTAGAATCATTTTCATTTATTTCAATACTAGTATAACGATCAATAGACGATGTCTGTTCATTATCTAGAATAATATTTCGTTCTGTTTCTTGATGATATTTAGTTTTTAGATGTCGTTTATAAAAATAATACATTATAGTTAAACATATAAGAACAATTGGTATAAGAAGAATACCAATAATCGAGATGATTTTTGAATGAATATGAATAAAATGTCTTCGATCGGTAGATATTGTTGTATTAGAAATTGGAAAAAAGGATGAATTCTGCATAAAACATTACGAAATTATTCAATTTTGAGGCGCCAATCTATTTTACATATCAACTGGACAGTAATTCTATGTTCTTTTATTTGACAATAAATATAAACTTATATATCGACATCGATAAAAAATAAAAATAATAATTTTTTCATATAATACGAAAACGTCTTGAAAATACGATTTTTGAGTTGAATTGATAATCTATAGTATGATTATGAACATTTCAAATATGGAATTGTGTAAAATTGCAAGAATATCTTTGGATATTTCCATGAATATTCAACCACAAAAATTAAATAGTGAAAAATCGCAAACATTTCTGATTGTTAGAGAGATAGTGTGAAATTTGCACCCATTCCACGAATCATAACAGGCGTTGTTGTTGATATACGATTACAGACAGTATATCAATAATGAGCTCATTGTAATACATTAACTAATTCTTTATTGCATTTATGAAACATTAACTAAAAGCAGAGTTCTCAAAATATATAGAATAAAATAATTTTCCTGTAATTATCAACAATAGCTATACCATGGTTTACAGTTTAATTCCACAGCGATTATGATTATAGCTTTTGTATCGCATCTACGGAAGTTTTGAGCTATGATGAAAAAAAGTGTCTGTTAAAGATATTGCTTCGAAGTATCTATGAACTTTAAACAAGCTATCATTTTATATAAAATGTATTATCTACGTCGTTAAGAATCACAATCCTTTGAGGTTAAAAAAAACAAACGTTGACTCGCCCTTCGCACATAATAAAAAATCATAAGTTCACAACATATACAAAAGACAGACAACAAAAAGATTGTCATAAGATATCTATTATTATCTTTTATAACATACACATAAACAATATTTTCAATAGAATAAACGAATAAATTCAATTCGATACAAGTGTTTCTTCTATACTTCTTTTCACTTGATATACAAAAATTCTAGTTGAATGATCTTTAAAATCTTCAATAATTAATTTATTATGTTCGACTATATATTCTTTATCATTATTAAGCCATTCATACCATTTACCATTACGTGGAATATTCAATATTTCATATTTCTCATATGTTATTGGTGACCAATTACAAATAATAATAACATGATCACCCTGATTATGTGTATCATAAATAGGTGGATTCCATCGATGCCAAGCTAAGATAAAATCATTTTCATTTTCAAATATAAATTCAATATTTGGACTTGTAAAAGCTGAATTTAATTTTTGTAATTGAATAACATCTTTATAAAATTGTAGTTGTTCTTTATTAATAGCATTTGAATTATCTTCTCGATCTTCAATTAATGACCAATCAATTTTTGCTACACCTGGTGTTTTTTCTTTATATTCACCAATTTCTGCACCCATCCAAATCATCATCAGACCAAATGATGTTGCTTGAATTGTCAATGCCATACGTACACGACGGAATGCCTCTTCATCAAATATTTGATGTTCTTTGCCTAAAGAAAAAAAGAACAAAAGCAAAAATCAATAAATTCAACAACGCGACTTCTAATAAAATTATTTAGTTTTCTTTTCTGCGTACCAAGATCGACTAATAAACGATTATGATCATGATTTGATTGATAATTAACAACATCAGTAATATTTTTATATCCTTGTCGACGAGCATCAATTACATCTTTGAGTTCATTTAACTTTGGTGATTCATTAGCTATAGATTCACGTAATTTTAAAAAGAAACTATCATGCCAAATACCATCCATAGGACCACCATTAGATATAACATGTTCTGGTCCATCAGGTAAATATTCACCAACACAATAAAATTCTGTTCCGAAACCACTACATAGAAAAACCGAAATGAGATTTTTTTTTATAGTAAAACAGAAAATATTGATTTGTTACCGTTCTCGAGCTTGTTGTTTTATTTCTTGTACGAGAATTTTAAGAAATTCATCATTAGCTATTTGAGTTGCTGCATCAAAACGTATGCCTAGGAGAAAGAAAAACTTTATTGAATCTATATAGATATATGATTTTAATAACATACCATCAATATGAAATTCATTAATAAAATATTTAATAGATTCACCAATATATTTTCTTGCTGGCCAAATCTTATATTTTTCATCGTATTTTTCATAATTCCATTCCTTTATTTTTTTTTTAATAAAAAGAAAATTTAATAACTAAATGATAATAATACTAACTTACTGGTCCCCAACACCAAACTGGATCTTTTGGTGCATGATGAAACCTATTTTAAAATAATATTTAGAAACATTTAAAAAAAAACTCATTTATCGTATTTACCAATAGTCATGATCAATTGCAGTATATGGTGCAGAAATATCACACTGAAAATAATCAAAATATGGTCTATTTAATAAGAAAGTATTATTTTCTAAAATCTCAATTTAACAAGCATTTTAACGAAGTGTAGCTTTTAAAATTTAACAGAAAAATCTATTACTGATTTTGTTTTCACTCTTAGCAATAGTTATTCAATATGTTATATTTAACAAGAATGGAGAAAAATTGCAAGGACATATTCCTTGAAACAATTAAATTGATTCAAAATAATATATTAAGACTTTACATGCGATCAATTGGTTGTACAGTATCTATATTTAACCGAAAACAAAAAGATGATTACATTTTCTGAAATTTTATTTATTAGAAAATCTAAGACATAAATCTATTTCTTATTCTAGAATTCTAAAGATAATTTAGAAGTCTTTTTTCTGAAAACTTCTAAATTTTTTTTAGTAATATCTAAAGATTTGTAAGAGTCATATTTTTACTTACATGATTATAAACACCATCCATAATAACTCGAATTCCATTTTTATGAAATGCATCAATCATTTCTTTCAGATCAGCACTTGTTCCGTATGTACTTTGAATTGCAAAATGATATCTTGGTGTATAACCCCATCCGATTTGTCCAGGAAATTCTTTTACTGGCATAATTTCCACTAAAGCAAAAGGAAAAATTAATACCAACTTACGAAGGAACGTTCTCAAGTGTCCAATCGTTTTTTTGATCGAGATTTCATTCAGATGAGAGACTCTGATGAGTAATGTCAAAGTTTAATATAATTCGATTGTCGGTGCCTTTGTTCTTCAGGTATCGAATGTTTACTGAGTGTCTGAACTGAAACCCATGTACCTCCTCAGATCACTATGCAAATCGAGTATCGAGTCCCGACTTCAAACTTATCAGAAACAAAACTCTCAACAGTAGTAGTTCACTTATTTTAGTGCTTCACATCCGGATATATCAGTATACGAGGGATGATTGCATTTCGTATGAGAAAATTTTTGTCATTCATATCTCAAAATAGGACATACAAAAATTAGTTTAACTTTCGCAATGAAGTAATGTTATTGAGAGGCTTATTTGCGGAAAGTTTCAACTTGAAACTCGAAATTCAATTTTCATGTTGATCTGAAAATGTTCACAGGTAGAATCTGCCAGGTTCAAAAATTTTGGACTTAAGGGTCACTAACTGCAGGTCTTTGTTAAAAAAGTTTAGTAAAAATTTGATTTGTCAAGAACGAAGACTCAGAGAATCGAATGATTTTAGGTTTTGATACAACTCACCGTAGCTTATGATTCGATGTGAATAAAGTCTCCATAGGAGGGAGGCGATCGGACACTGAGGAATGTTGCCTTGTTATTGTTTCTTTGTAATCCGTTTACCTGCTGTGATACCTAATTGAACAAAATAATCGATTTTAGCTGTTATATTTGTAAACTTTTCTGCAAAATCTCCAATATGAATTTCATAGATAATTAGCTTTTCGTTTGGAACTAATGGAACATGATTATCATATTTCCATTCATATTCATCGACGATTCTTTTTCCTTGAAGTATCAATGAATAGAAAAAAAATCAATACGTCAATGTTTTTTTTGCTTCTTACCATTTTTAAAAATAAGTACACCAACTGATCGAAAAGAATCATCTGAACCACGTTCATCAACTTCAGTTGCATATGGATCAACAAATGTATACCAAACTTCTGTAAAAGTTATTTCTTCTTCTCGTTTTCTATTTCGTTCTTTTACTTCTTCAACTAATTTATCATGTTCATTTTGAAGATCTTTTCGAGCTTGTTCATTTTCTTCCGATGCTATAAAAGAAAAGAAATACTTTTTTAAAAAAGAATTAAAACATAATTGAATAGATTTTACTTTTAGTGTCATCAATATTATATTCAGGTAAAGCTGGTTCTGGTTCTGGTTCAAACCAAGATTTTGTCACTACTTTATATTGATAATGATAAATACCTATAGAAGAATAAAATAAAAATAAAACTTGAATGAAATGAAATAAATTGTACCATCAGGTAAATCAAGTGTTGCACGCCAATAACCATCTTGTTCATTAAATTCCATTGGAATATCAAGACCCTTTTAAGAGATAATTTATT